TTTAATCAGAATATTTAAAAAATTCTCGACCAAAACTAAACGTAGTGTAGCAAACAGATTCATCTGCTTAATAAAAACAGGACTGAAACCATGAATCTATATACTATAACTCTGAATAGCGCATTTATACAAGAGTACATGGGAAAGGAGGAGAAGATGTTAAAAAGTTACATTGATTAAATTTAGATTAGTTAAGAGTGCAAATGAGCAAACATCTAATAATACGACCTCTGACATAAAATAGTATTAGCTAGTTGTTACTCTAAAGTTAACGAAAAAAAATTTCTGGAATAGAAATAAATAAAATATGCTAGAGAAACTTTGTATAAATTACGGGCGTCAACATGTCAAATTCTTTATAACCAGAGTGGATCCCGAAAAGGCCAATGCTATCATTCTACTCATGTCCTTCGTTTTGTAGCCAGGTTGTAAAATAAGCAAATTTTTGCACAGTTGGGCTGTGGATCCAAACCAATTAATTATTGGTGCCAAATCTTGTTACAGAGAAGGCGTGCTTATAACCAGCGAGAAACAGATGCATTGTTGTTCTCTGAATAAGGCTTATTTTTCGTTAGTACAGAAATTTATAGAACTACAAACAAAGATAATCCCAGAAATGTTGGAAATGTAAAAACGTTATGAATAATATATCTGAGTTGCCAAAATTATTAAAAGTCATAATCAATTTTTAAATAATTCAAACAACTATGGCAAAAGTTAAAGTTATCAAATTTCTAATAAAAATACCACCATGTACTTCAAAATTTAAAACCAGATGTAAGGTGTTTCCATGAAAGTTTTCCGATTCGCTACAGTTTGGACTGATGCGGCGTGCAGAATAAACATTTTAAAATAAGGAACTTAATTTCATGAACAATCATTCACGATCAAATTAGAAATAATTATTTCTAAAATTTTTGATATTTTGCATGTATATTCAATCCATAATATTCAACGACTATAATAGATGTAACTCGAATTTGCTTTCAGTAAAGGAAGCTGATGTTAAGTGAAAGTTTCATGTAGTGCCTTTTAAGAGACAAATGTATGCATGTAATAACTTTCAAGTGTAAAACATGTAATGACTTTTAAGAGACAAATGCATTTCTTTCCTCAGTAACAATAATCATTCGCATTGGAAATATTTTATTTATCTTAAATATCTAGCACAAATGACAATTAGCATCATCTATTGGACAAAATTAGAAAGGAGAAAAGGAGAAGAAAGGCGTTTAATCATTCTTTCAGTGAGAGTAATTATACAACTGCCCTTATAAATTGTTAAATTTCTAAATTTTATTGACCATAATTTATTTAAAACTCAAACCATTTTATTCCTTACTGTCCAAATTATTACATTTAATTTATTTATCTCACATCGAAATATAAAATTCCAAGATATTTTCAGAAAACCATTTTTTCAAAAATGCGCAAAACTATATGAATTTCAATTCGATGAAAATAATTCTGTTTATCATTCGGTAAATTAGATATAAAGATTGTATAAACCAAATTATTGTCATAAATGTGTCTTATTATTTTAAGCTTAAAACGAAGATTTTTGTCTGATGGATTATTATAGATATATTTTGTATTTGAAACAATTTCAGAGAAATGTCTTAAATCATAACTACTCAGTTTTTCCTAAGCAATTTTATATCTGAGCAGACACAAAAGGAAATATATTTTTAAGCACTTACTTTATATCCACATTGACATCCGTTTTTTAAACTATATTTTCAAACTCATTGCAGGAAGAAATATTTATTTGTACTGAAAAAAACAAAATAGCTGTTAATTTGGAAGAGAGTAATTAGAATAATAAATAAAGATGAACGACTGCCAAAATAATGGTGAAACTTTTTGGATACTATAATGGGATTCTATAACTTGTCTCAGAAACATAATCTATAACTTGTCTCAGAAACATAATCTATAACTTGTCTCAAAAACATAAAAATTAAAGTGGTATAAAATTATTTGGTACTTATAACGTACCAAATAAACTTATAGGTGGCGAAAGGAAAGAGAGAGAATTATTATAAAAATGTATTACTGACTGAAAATAAATATTTTCTAAAACTGAGGAAAAGTATTTAGAGAAAAGAAAACGTAGTGAGTACGTGGTACTATGTTAATGTACTCCTGTTTCAACATCAAAATTCTAAGCCGTGAAAATGCTGAAATCGCTATATTTATCAAACAAAAAAAAAAACCCTAATCCAGTTATTAGAATTGATATTTACGGGGATATAACATTATTTTTATTATTAAAGAAGATTTATTAGAGAAACTTTTAAAAACTTAGTAAAAATAGCTTATTTCTGTTAAATGACGCTAATTATTTTCATAATTATGCATTCAGTTTTAATGTTTCTGCATCGAACAGAGAATGAACGTAGGTCCTCTTGACCTCTAGACCAGTAATTTCTTGCCTGAGCTACAGAAGTAATTATTTTACTTCTCATTTCGAGTAGCCCATTTCTTCTACAAGATGTAAATCTTTAATTTCAATTACGAAATATAGTAATTAAAATGTCTGACGAAAATGTTTGCTTTAAATGAGGATGTAAAACAACACAATGCATTTTCTCAATTCATTCTATATAATGAAGGAATAGGCTTAGAAGTAATGATGTGGAAATACTGATTGCACTAACTCTGTTCTCGCTAAGACACTGCTTCGCTGTTCTCTTCCTATCTCAACAGCATAAAAATTGTAAATATTTTTGAAGAAACACGATTAGAGTACCAAGTGAATGTGACCATAAATTTCAATTTGCGGCCGCAGGTCACAGCTTTATATTTTTCTATAACATAAACAATTTTACATCTTTATATTCATCTCTACCTATAATAAAAGAGTCTGTCTGTGCGTGTGTGTGTCTTTCGTTCGTGCTGCGTATAAGCTAATAGACACAGGCCTACGAAATCTGGTACATAGGGTGTTGCTAGACAAGAGCCAGTGCATCTCGAAATGAGTTTTTCAAAATTCGAATGAGATTTTTTTTATTTCATGTTTTTTGGTGAAATCGCATCAAATCGATAATTCTCTCTCATTATATCAGTAACAATGGCTGCGTGCCATTGTTGCTGATATATCACTGTTACCATTGTTGCTGATATCAGCACTGTTGCCACTCGGAAAAATGAGGGCGATAATTCTGTGCAGTTTTTAAATTTAATGTTTCTCTTGGATACTGGACGCTTATCGAGAGAAGGCAACGGGAAGTTGATTAATTTATTTATTAGGATAATTAATATTTTTATTGAGGTATATTGCTTATTTCATTGCAATTGTGTTACATGTAATACATTTTTATTGAATTTATTTTATAAAGTTGTTCTGCAGAGTAAAATTCTGTGCAGTTTTTAAATTTAATGTTTGGTGTTCCCTTTAGGCATTTTTTTGGTACATTTAAAAGCTAGACGAAGGCTGACCGCGGAGCGGTTAGTCTATTATATAAAGATGAATATTTAATTAGTGCAATCAGAATTTCTACAACATCACTACTTCTAAGTCTAGTACTTCATTACAATGGAGTGTGTTTGTATATTTATACAACACTTACACATTTAAAATAAATTCTTTCCAAGATTAAAAAAACTGCTTATCTGATAGCCTATTTCTATATACAGGAGCAATATAAAGTAACCACATAAATTAAGAGCTAATATGTTATTGATTATTAATTCATTATTGAAGCCGTAAAAAGAGGTATCTATGAATAATGAAATAATTGCTTTTAAATAAACAAATGCGTTAAAGGGCAAATAATTATATATTCAGCAGTGTAATAAAATTTCTCCAATGTATTCTTTCTTTAAAATGAGGTCTGCTTCGAATCATTTATAAGAAAACATTATGTACTATCTATCAAGGTAAAATTTGGAACTGCAATCAGTAAGTCCTTGCTGAAAATATGCGAAAACAAAATTTCCCACAATTGTAAATTAAAATCAAAACGACGCATTCATAAGTAGTTACTTAACCATGGCGTTTAGCTTTCTAAGAAGGATACATATTTCTTTTTATACATTAAAATAGATTTTAATGTTTTTAATCCGAACTAAAAATAATACTGTAGCATTATATGATTCTTACAATCCTCTAATCTAATATTTGAGGTATTATAAGTCATATATAAAAATGATTTATTAAATCATGAAATGCATATGGTCCCTTAAGAATTCGAATAGTAAGGTTAAGGAAATGAAGGACGAGTGGTAGGTGAAAGAAGAGGAGATGAAAATAGTATTTTGTAATTGTGGAATAGTTTTATGAGAGGAAAAATAAATACGCTTAAATGAAAGAGGGGGGGGAAAGACAACATGAAGGATTTAACATGGGTAGGAATTTGTTTTTCTTCTCAAGATACACTTAAGCAAAATGAGGTTAGCTTGTCACTTTTTTAATTTAAAAATAAACCTTTTAGATCCCCCGCTCTGCGCACTATGCTTGCTCATATAGATTGAAATTATGTAGCGATTGAAATTATTACAGTTAAATATTTTTCTTTTCCTTTGCCATGCTAGCATTATTTTGCCTTATGTAACCGCCACAGAAATTAATTCAAACTACTATTCATTTAACTACATATAAAAAGAAATATTTGGCACAACAGTTTACTTTAAGAAAATTTTCTTTCATCAATCTATTAATTAGAATATCATTTATAAATAAATGTTCTCAACTGCGGCTTGTATGTTTCTATTCATATCATCTTACTGTCGGTATCCTCCTATTTTAGTTACATTTTTCTTGTCACTTTATTGTTCATTCGCATTCGCAGTTTTTAGAGTTTTATCACTCTTAATACATTTAATACTATTAATATTTACTTCCTTAAACTCACGAATACGTTAAAGATTTCATTAAGTGCTACGTTAAAAAGAGTAAGCCTAGTATCCGGATGAGTCGCTGTATAATATAAATTTTCACATAATAGATATACGCATTGCTTGAGATTGATTTGAGCGGCTAATTAACAAACCTTCGATTTGTTAGATGGCAAACTAATCATTAGTTTAATAAAAAACATCACATTGTCAAACATAAATGTGTAAATGTTTAAGATAGTTACTAGTAAGTCAGGAAAATAAACACAGTTTGATGCATCTTGAAAGACAAATGTCCCTAATATTTTTATGCAACTAAGCAATGATTTTTATAAATCACATTAGGGAGAATCTTAAAAGTGGCACCGAATATTGAACAATTCCATTTAGCTTGAATGAAACTCAGATTTTTAAGCATGTGATGAGTTTCTCATGGTTCTGAAAAATTTATGAAATAGCGTTTGTGATCTGCAATAGCAGAATTTTCGCATTCTTGCGCTATTAATGCAATCAGATTGGTTACCATATACATTAAGTCTACTAATATCATCTAACACACGGTAAGTGCCATCCTCCATATCATATCTAACTGTACCTTCAAAGATACCCCCGCTTGGGTTGACACTAATCACAAGTAAGTAATCGCCTGGAGCATTTATCTTTTGACCAAGAACAACGTGACGATTTATAACATCATTCTGATGTTTCACAAATCGTAGCACCATATCATTAGCTTGTCCAAAGCGCGCGTCCAGGATTTTACCCATTTTTAAAGGAGTGCAAACATTTTCGTAAGGTTTCAGTTGTTCATTTATAGTATCTATGAGTGCAAGTGCGCAATTCACAACTACTGACTCAGTAACTGGAACAGGTCGATGAGTCTGACAAGGACACCAGTGGGGTAAAATGTTAGCTTGTTCGCAATTCCTCTCCTTTGGTATCTCTTCCAGTAAGCTTAAACCATTAGGAGACAACCTAGAAATAGTTGCATTCTCTTCACTGAAATCAGACTGTCGAGTAACATTCAACAGATGCACAAGAGTTGCATGAATATCAAATGGAGTTGTCAAACGTTCTTGATTTCTTCTGAGATTTTCAGCGAACTCGGGATACTTTTGTAGAAACCATGTTGGGAAGAATAGATAAATAAATGGCATTCTCTCTTCGAACTTCCCAATGTAAGTTTGGCGTATGGGCCCAAATCGTATTCCGTGATCACTAAAGAGAATCATAAGACTTGTATTTAAAGCACCATTGTCATGCAAATCCCTCAAAAGATGAAAAGTTGGCTCATCGGCATACCCAGCAGCATTCAAACTATCATGAGTGAGCCTAGCAACGAATGTAAACGCAAAGAGAGGTCTATTATTCATCGTTTTAATGAAGTCTTTCAAGTAGTTATACAATATATCCATTTCTAACTTTGACTGTAAACAATTCACTTTGCTTCCTCTTCTAACTGCAGATTTTTCTACAGCTAGTGCGAAGGGACGGAAATAATAATCAGCTGGTGGATCTCGAAAACCTCTTTTTAAGTAATTAAACGTTGCTATATGTGGCGCATCTTCTGCAAATAATGTCCGATAGCCTCTTTCTGAATAATTTTTCCATATAAAATCAATATCATCAAAGAACATATCTTGAATGGACTCATTCCAGTAATGCTCGATAAAATGTCCAGTAAGTAATGGCACTAAGTTCGGAAACGTATTGTCAGCTACTTTAGTATAACCTTTAAGTTCAAATGATGACAGATTTTCTTTTAAAAAGCGATGGGTTTTTCGGAAATGACGTAAAAAATTCAGTTTTGAAACTGAATCGATGCCGACGATGATGATATTCAGTTTTTCATAATTTAATGAATGTTGGCTTTTCGCGTTCTTTTCTTCCTCCACATCAGACTTTAGAGGCACTAAAGGAATGAACTGAGTTAAATTCGGAAAATCCCCCATAGAACATTTGACCATAAGAAATTCATCGCTCAGAGGAACACCAAACTGCAATTTCTTAGAACTTCCTAATACATATTTATTATCTGTTCTATCCTTTTCTGTCCCAGGATCCCTTAATATGGGACGGTAAGTACACGATAGATTATTTGGATGCATGCCGTAATAGAAGCTCAGAAGTTTATGGTCAAGGGTTATTACGCCATTAGCTCTAGTGTTCATAAATTGTGGTCTTCCCGGACACTTATATGGTGACTTGACTTTGCTGATGAAAGGAAGCACAGATGGATCATAAGGGTCCCAATCCGGTATCTGGCATCCGGGCGTGTTCAGAACGAACCCATGATTGTCGATCAACCATTTAAGCTGGAGAGGTTTAGATGAATCAGAGATTATTTCATCACCAGAATAAGACAGGAAGATGACCAATCCCAGAAGGGAGAACGTGGATAGGATGATAAATGTACGACGCATCAATGATCCCATAGGTGTCAACTATGAGGTTTTCCTTTCGTCGCGGAATATTCATAGGAATCTGTAGAAGAAAAAGAAGATTATATCAACAATCAATATTAATGTTAAATAATTATTTCATTTCATTTAAATGTGTTACTTTGCAGGAATTCCACTAATGAATAACAATAGTTAAAAATGATTTTGAAATGAAATTCATAGATTTTTAGGAAAACACGTCCGACTGTTTAACAACCTTCAGCGAATGGATATTTATTTTACTCATTTAATGATACAGCAGAATTGTTATAAACCAAAATTTCTGGTAAGTCAAATAGAAATAGTTCCACAGGCAAAAAGTATTAAAAATCTGATGCTAGGTTTCATTCGTTAGTAGAATTTCCTTAACTCCAAAAATCTGTTATTTTTTTTTTAAATGACGCTGAAGTTACTTTATTTATCGTCAAATATTATTCCCAAACCATTCAAGATAAGCTTCAAATCTCCACTACAGGATACATAAATAAAAAATTTTACAAACCCCCTTTTTTAATATTTAACCGCCTCCCCAAGCAAATGGACTTTTCTTTTTATGAGTAATTAAAAACTAAGTCGGCTGTTTTTCATTCCGAATTTTTTTGTAAAGCGTTTGTTTATTACATATTCTTTTAGAAATCAAAAGATGAAGTCTTTAAAATACCGTTCGTTATCATGCTATTTCATATAGTAGTTTTCCAGTAATACATATGTTGTTAAAAGGGGAAAATATGCTACTCTCTCCAATGGCAAAGAAACTATTTTATTAATTTTCATTAACTCTCTCCAATGGATATATGCTATTCTATGATAGAACATCATTTCGTATCAACATAGCTTAGAAACTGTTGTCTAATACCTGAATACCGGCTAGAACTAAAATGTCCCCTAACACCTTACGACTAGGGATCCGATATTTTAGACTTGAGGCAGATGCTTTCCGGTCTTTATGAAGCCAGCAAATTCGTCTGTTTAAGTTTCATTTGCCCGATTAAGTCTGATTCGGGAGTGCGTCATATTTATTGCGGGAAATGTATCTTTTAGATCGAAGCCTTTTTAACCTTTTAAACATTATAGCTTTAGATCGTAATTTCACTCTCCAGACTGTGTTAGAAATGACTTATACTATTTAGCAAAATATTTAAAAAAATGGACTGGATTAGATTATTTAAATTATGGCAAAGCTCTTGAGAGCTATCTAGGACTTTGGCTAAGACTAGGGAAATGGCTTATATTCACGTTACGTATGGAGAAAATAACGAAAACACCCATGCCGCCAGCCCACTCACCTGGATTTGAGCCTGATTTTAACTGCTTTTGCTTAGCTATCTTCTCGGTTCGCCACTGCAAGTCTTTAGGAGAGGGGAAAAAGTGAAGAGAGAATTACAAAAAAATAATAATTTCATAAAATGCAAAATATTACAGAACGCGACGTTCAGACATTCTTTATAGTATACTCTTACTTTTAGTAGTTATTGAATCCTCGAAATAAATTTCGAATAGTTTACATTATTATAAGCGCTCGAGCTGTATATGTCGTTTTTATTTGTTACTTTCCTTGTATATTAAAAGTTCTCAAATAAGAATCGCGATGCATTCTGAAAGATTGCTAACAATTATTGGCAGTCAGAAACATTAAAATTTTTTTTAATATTTAGATAAGTATTTATATATATATTAAGTGATACTTGCAGGATTTTATGTTAACTAACTAGTTAGAATGATTTGAATTTTTAACTTCTTTCCGTAGTCTTCACCAAAACGCACATTTTTTTGTTGTGTATTTAAGCTTGAAGGCTTGAATGTTTTAGAGCTACAGCTTCTGGTATCCTCGCATTATATTTAAGTACTATCCCCAGATCTGCCAAAATTCTTCCGGCTTTTAGCATCTTGCTAATTGACATTTAAAATACAGGCCTTTAATTACCTTAAGCTAGCTTAAGGTGTTTATTTTGCGTGTAGTCTCAGACTATGTTACCTACATGTGAATTTAATTTCATCTTACGCTATTACCTTATAGCCTCAAGTAATGGAGGTATGTCTGTCGCACAAGCAAGGTCTTCTATTCATTTAAGAGTTAAATGAAAATTTCATTTCAACCTTTCTATGATTTGGTCATTTGCTTCAGACTACACCGTATAGCGATAACTGGCTTTTAAGTCTAGTAAGGGCTGCTGGGCATTGAGATAATTTCTATACGTAGCAGAACGTTTTCATACCATGTAATTATTTTAGTTTTTATACATATTCGAAGTATTAAATTCATTCTTACTTATTTAAAAAGTAGTTTTCGTTACGTGAACGTAACTTATTTTTAAAAATTATTTCAAATCTTTATTCGACTTAAAGGCTTGCGTACTCACAAAAATTTTGTCAGATCAGGAATCGGGGTATGTAAAAAGGTTAAGAAATACTAATTTATATGGGATTCCATTGAGGTTAATTTCTTATCCTAAGTGCCACCTTCCAATTAATAATTCTTTCATTAAATGGAAATATTTATGAAGTGACTGGTTGTCCGAAAGAGGTTGTGACTTTATCCGAAAATTTAATAACATATTATGAAATTTGTTTGCACAATACAGCGAGAGAGGTTTAGTGATTTATTTGGAAAAAACTTTCCTCTATGATAAAGAAGCGAGTGTGGGGTTTCTGAATTTGAACTGGTACATTGATTGCAGTCAATGCATGCATAAAATTACATTCAAAAATCATATGCAAAAAAGCATAAAACATTGTTTATTTACATTTCATGCATTCCATGTACGAGACTGATGACTCTATGAATACTAACAAATGGAAAAAGAACATTTAAACTCTTAAATATTTCTCCTGCTTGCATAACAATAAATTTACTTAAACGTTTTGAGAAATTAAATTCTTAATTCTTTCATTAAACACCGACAAAATTAGCTGCGACGCAATTCAGCCTTCACTTGCCATTAGAATAGTCTTGAGTATTACAGTCTCTGTTTCTGTGTCAGAAAATAATTCGCCTCAGAGTCATTTTTGCATTCTGAGCTATAATTCATACACGAAATCCAAGCTTACAACTCAAAAACGGTTTCCTATAGTATAAAATATTAATATAAAATATTTTCCTTATTTTTTTATTATTTCCTATATTTTCCTCCCTTTTAGAAACGCTTTTAGGAACTTAGAAAATATTTAAGAATAAGTGGCATGATTTATTTATTTCGTAGAATATACAAGGGCCTTATGAAAACTTAGTACTAGCAGAGGCGAATTTTCATCTAATCAGATGCAGAAAGTATACATCGATATCACCAACAGTCAGCATTATTATGTAGTTGGATTATTCTTCAAGATTTCATAATAAATTACAGTAAATAGGATACATTTTGCGTTTCTGGTGAAGAAGCAAAACATGGAACGAAGAAACCAAGAGCTCCGAAGGTTTTCATTTATGGTAAGTTAACGCAGTGCATAAGATGCAGATATTTTTACAAAATTTTCTTTAGAAACATGTCTGATATTCCTTCCTCATGTTTCAAGGTGAAAATGCAAATAGCTTCCTCTGCGGAGGGGGCTTAAAACCGAAGATGGAGATTTCTATAATGAATCATTTAGGGTTTGGAAAGGAATCGACTTTGGAGAGGGAGATGACAGACATAAGAATGCTTTACCAGTAACTAACTGCAGTCAGGAAGAGGAGTGGACTTTTGTCTCTTGGAGAGAGGTATTTCGAAACTTATGAATATAAATCTGCGTAAGTAATATTTATGACTTTTAGCCTAATAAATTTACTATTTATATGCAATACAAAAAACAAAGTCTCCTTCTTATGTGACTTACAAGAAATCGAAAAAAGGGCTCGCGACAAATGGCTTCAGTGATCTGCTAGACAAGGTCTCATGGAAAGTAATAAAGTACAATGACAAGTACGCATTCTGACTCGCATCACATGCGAGAGGCTAAATGCGAAACTCTGTTAATTTCTTTCTGGGTTTCTATTCCCGAAGACTGAACGGTTAACTAAATGGGAATTTTGTGGTTTTCTCCATATCTGCCTTAAATACAAAACAGTTTTCGTAAAATGTGATCTACGAAGACATCCATCTCATCAGGAAGACGTTTCTCGTATTCTTTGCCATATATTAAAATATCACATCTTGTGTAAGAAACTGATAGTTTATATTCGATTTTTTATAGGTATGAAAATAACAACTCATAATAGAATAAAAAAATCTGATGTGTACACCACATGACTTCCTTGTACGGAATATTAAATTATATGCATTTTTTCTTGCATTTTATTTAAACTTATTAGATTGAATTTAACCTACTTCGCCGACAAGCGCATAAACCACAATAGAATAAATGCATTCTTTAAAATTCCACTTAGTGTTTACCATAGCGACACTCTGGCGCTAGGTTTCACTTAACAGTATTATATTTCATTCATATTATAACTCAGAATGCACAAAATTTATATCATGTAAAGAATTATCTAATAGTTGCCCATATGTTCTATTCAAATACTATAATAAATCTAGAACTATGTATATAAAGAAATTTAGCAAACAAAAACAACAAAAAGAAACAGTTTTTCCACAGACGATTGAGTATTTCTCATTCAATTAATTCAGTTTCTCACTTCGCGACAAGGCAAAAATACATAAAAACTCAAAATATCTGTATTAAAAATTACGAAGTAAAATTTTAAAAGCGTTTATTTCCTCGAAAAAATTCCAGAAAGGATTAAGCATGATTTAAAATAATAAATGAAGGCGTTATCTTTGTTGTTGCGAAGCTAAGTTTTCTCTAGATTGGTAACAAATCCGCTACTCAGCTCTTTCAAATGTAAACAAGATCAATGGCCGCCATCAAAAAATTAGGCTTAGCGGCACTTAAACAATTTTAAAATTGTTGATAATTCTAAAAAATATTGCATACAGATTTACTAAAGGCATAAAAAACCCTTAACCGGAAGGTAAAAAACAACATAATTCAATCATTTTTAAAGCAAAAAAATGTACAATTTACAAACATATAAGAGTAAAAAAAACTGAGATTACTGAGCCG